AGTATAATGTGTCTGAGTGGGGTATTCATGCTTCACTGCGGTGTGGTATCTCAGTGGGCTAGCACTATAAAACCAGCTTAAGTCTGGGGCTAGTACAAGCAGCCGCACATACACATACACACGCATGCACATCGTCATATGAGCGAAACATTCTCAAGCACGACGTTAATCCCAATTTCACCTCACCTTTTTCAATGTATTTGGGGTAGCCTAGTGGTTAAAGTGTTTGCTCGTTATGTCGAAGACCCGGGTTCTATTTGTACGTCATGCCAAAGACCCGGGTTCTATTCCCTACAGGGAACAATGTGTGAAGCACATTCCTGGTGTCCCCGGCTGTGATATTGCTGGAGTATTGCTAAAAGTGGCATAAAACCATACTCACTCACTCTGAATATATTTTGCTATTACAAAGGCATATTACTTGGGAAGAAATCACAATGCCTGGCCACTCATCTCTCTGGCTAGTAGTGCCAGTGTATCTCGAGACACTGATAATGAAGAAATGTCACTATTTTTTGTACTTATCTGGGTTCAAAGGTAAAAATGGTTGTGCTCAAGAATTTACATTAAGAGTGCATGCTGGTTTTTACTTTAATACATCCATAAACTAAACAAGTATATTTGAAGGCAATAAATAAGTCAGTTATGATAATTTCACAAACAGTAACAGTGACATCATTCAGTGTTGTATTTTGTAATGCACCACACACTCTATTATCATCAACCAATCAGAATATAGTGATCGTTATAGTTTAGTGTTGTTATACAGTGTTGTTGGTGGAATATATACACCATGCCTGGCTAGCCAATCAAATGCCTTGCAATCACCTGAAAATTATTTATGACTGTATACAAACTGAAAAATTGGAAGCATGATTTTGGATGATAAACAGAATCTCACCCTCGTGTTCAAGCTCAGATATATCAAGACATGTTGATAACAGTAAAAATATCCTTGGCAAGATGAGATATTTGTAACGTTGTCAACAAGTCTTCATATACTTGATCTTAGAGGACATGAGGGTGAGACTGTCTGAGAGAAGCTTCAGCAACAGGTTGATACATGAGTGTTCATCAAAGATACATCATAGGTTCTGGATAAATGGAATGGTGCCATAGGCTCATGAATATAAACAATCGGCCTTCAGACTCGTAAATAAATACAGTCAGACTCAAGGCAATGAAACGCACTGGTGTGGGTGGTCTTTGTTCTTTAGACATGAAAAACTATGTAAACTGTGTCAAGAATTTTACGAACTGTTTTAACCATATTTATCACATGGAGTTTTAGTGATGATGGATACATGCATGCAGATTCTTTCATATTACTTAACTTAATCGTGCTATGTCTTTTTAGTAGACATTTCTTGGTTTTGTTGCTCTGGGAAAACATTTATGTTATTTTCTGGTCTGGAAGTTTGTACTAATAGATCATAATAGCCAATTTATAAAACAAGGGTCACCACATCACACAGGACATGCTCAAAGTGCACGGCATTCTTACCCAAATCAACAAATACGTGGCACTCCATTCTCACCTCCCTAGGGAATATGCAGCTGAATAATATCAACCTATACCAATATTTTTCTGGTTCCAACACATTTGTTACTGGTTTGGCTACAGTGTCGTGATATAGTGGATTCAAATTGTTATAGAGAGGAAATGGTTTAACCAACGTGGATGTGGTCTTTATCATTCCAGTAATTTGCATGTTATTTATATATTCTGTCTTGTAAATGGTTGAAGATATCAGAGCTCCAGATAAGAATTAGGTCATGTGGGTACTGTACCCACTGCATTTTTGGGGAGTGGGTATTATGAATGTTGAGTGGGTATTTCATTTTCCGTTACCCACTGCTTTCAAATATGTGCTTATTTCAGTCATTTCACTCACCTAAGTATTATGTCATTGAGTAAGTTTACTAAGCAGGTATGTTCTGCCTCATGTCATACCTAATCAAAACCAAGTTAAATATAATGGAAATGATTTCATAAAAAAATCACTCATCCTATACTGACAAAAATACAATACTTGTCCAACTTGATAGCAATCGATGTCTTTTTCATTACGCAAGCGATTTTTAAAAATATACTCTGTACGCATTTGTTTTAAACTTTTTGCGTATCTAACATTTTAAATGCGTAAATGGTACGCAACAATTATTTTTTCAATGCATAATTTTAAATTTTCTATGCGTATTTTACACGGATACGCAGCTTATCTGGGCCTCTGAGATATTATTAATTGGTTTGTATTGTAGAGCAGAAAATTTCGAATCATGGCCTAAGATTAGTGTAGAAGTTAAAAAAATGGCACGGCAAGATTGGGTGTTGATTAACAGAGAAAGTGTTAGAGCGCAGTGTGTGGGTTGTGTATATGAGTGGAAGCGTAATGACGACCGAGAAGTCCGAGAGTCGGACAACATTGTCCCTGTCTGCGCTGTAGCTCCTAGCTTACCTCAATAAACAAGTCAGCATTTGTACACTACTTATCTCTGTTTACTCAGAAGTGAAAAGCTGGGCTATCACTGCGTTCTAGTATGCATTGCGCTAAGCAGATGCACACCATGTGAATTCAGGTTTGTTTTGACACTCACATGTCAAGTTTCAATTGGGACTGAAGTTTCAAATCAAATTCCTAATTGGTATGATACAGGAGGCCGAATGGAATGTATAAACTAGGTTGGACTTTGGAGATTACGGGAATTCTTTTGTTTGGGTGATTTGCTATTTACACAGGTTGTAGTGAAATGTACGCTGGTTTTAGTGTGCTGTGATTGATAACATCAGGGATCAGGATAGCCATGTACATGATTTCAGTCAGGAGCGACAAGCAATCTGTCTGACTCGTCAAGCGGCCAGCCTGTTATCACATAGATTACCCAAGGGAAGAAGCTTTATTTGTTCAGCATGTTGTATCGAGGGTAAATTTGTAAAACACACACATCTCAAGAATAGAACATCTATGTCAATGGTTTAAGCTAAAATGGGTGATAGTACATAGTAGAACATTTTTGATGGACTGTTCTCGAAAGATGTATCTGAATTAATGTTTTAAAGTCATAACATGTGTAAATTTAAATGCATATTGGATGATAAATATCAAATTCTGATACTTATGCTGCAGTTTTATTACATATATTATCAGCTCTTTTTTTGTAGCAATAATTCAAATTCCTTCAAACCAAAATACTGTAGTTGTTCCCTACATCCGAATATTGGTTTACAGTGGAAAAAGCACGATTTGCAAAAGATTATTTTAAACAAAATTTTAAATGAGGAACTGGAAATAATTCCACAGTGTTTCAACTAACGTTTGTTGCAGCTAAAAAGCTTCAAAAGGGAATACCGGTTCACCAGTCGTGTAATTTTTCTTGTCCAATTTTGTCGAACTTCGCCCCATGTTTGCTGCCAGTAATCCCAGCAGCCGAAGGTGGTCGCCAGTCACTGGCATGGCTGCCGTAACAAGCCTGGTGACAATCGAGCATTGTGTTTTGACAGTGCTTGTCACATGTATACTGTCGCCCAGCTGATCCCTACTTGCATGGTGGTGCAATATTATCAGACTTGTGTGTTTTCGGAATGTCAACCCCATCCCAGATGGTATAGTTCAAAAGAAATCTGTTCTCCATGGTTAATGTTTGACAGGGGCCCAGGTTTGCTTGCTCTGCTATCATTTTCTCATGCTCGAAATATTTTAAATATTTTGTATACGCCTGTAACAAACCTTTTTTGGCTGTAACTGTATTAATGTTTGGTATTATTTTATGTCAGGGAATACGTTTTCCACATGTTGAAGTCTATTTTGGTATGTAAGATTATTTGTTTCACCCTAGATGTTGCCTAGTTGTGTTGTTTATGATTGACAACTTAAAGATTGGAAACATTGCCAAACATTTGGTTCTCGGAAAATAACAAATAATGGACGAGAAACTAAACTTGGGTTTTTTTTAAAACTTTTGAAGTGGGGTAAAGAAAAACATCTTGGTGAGATGTAGGCACAGCGTTCATTCCAGCTGGAATTGAGATGATTTGAGGGATTGTTTGTAGTATTATTCATGGTTATAAATTTGTTTTTGACTTTTATGGTATTAAACAATTTCACCCTTTTGATTAATGTTGTTGACTTTAGATGGATGATTTATTATGAAGTCGACTTTTTAGGTTGTCTGTGGATCAATAGCTTTAGTTGTAGCAAAGGCAACATTGTGTTCCTTCTTATATCAGGTTACGTATTTGTGTGCACATGTACTTAATCTCACTCACTCACTCGGTAGGCAAAACGTGTTTCCATTAATTATTGATACTTAATATTCTGGATTGTTTTGAGTATTATTTTGACTAAATAATATTGAGAAGACAGGGAAGGCAAATTATATTATTAGAAAACTAGAAGTAGGTATATCATTAAGAAAATTCAGGAAATATTTTGTGAGTGAGTGACATGATGCTGTGTGTGAAAAGATTTTGTTTTTTTTGTAGAATGTTGTATTCAACATAAGAACTAGAAATGTGAAATTCTTTCCCTCACACCTGATGTTGAAAGAAATGTTAGCATTTTTTGTAATTGGGACCCTCATTAGCAAGAAGCTGTTGTGTTAAGTATTGCAGTGCTAATTGACATAACATCATTTCTTGTGGAGGCATTTTGTTGTTTTCTCTCACAAAGAAACATTTTTTTTATGAATGTATAAGAACAATGCATCTTCTTAAAACAGGAAGTCCTCTGTTAGAAGAAAAAACTTTAACAAGTTTCATGTTTTTGTCTTTTGTGCCTACTTGAGAAAAAGAGAACTTGATACATAGTTTAATGATATGTCATTTGGTCGTGTATACTAGATATGACGGGATTTGTTTAAGCATTTGTCATGGCACCCTTGGCATGCTTGGTCCAGCCAGGGTCGTAAATATTTGTTTGATTACCAGATTAGTCTTCAAATCCAACTCAATCTTTTAAAGATATGGTTTGAGACAAACTGAATGTTTATTTCTGTTTCAGGTTTGGGTCTTCGCTGCTACTGTAACCAGTGTCCACCAAAGATTGGCTTGCCTAGCAACTCATGTCTGGCTCGAGACAACAGCAAGTGCTTCACTGCTGTCACCATCAACTACCTGGAGGATGAGACCACAGAGACTTGGGACTATGGCTGTCTAGGGGATGATGAGAGCACCCTCTTGCAG